TTGTTTGGGGGTCCATGCTTGTCAGTATGCAGTTCATTACAAAAGGCATCCTGAATCTCCAGAAACTCTTAAAACAGACAGATTCTGAAATGCTTCCATAGAACTTTACCTGTCAGAAAAACAGAGAGCTCAGTACAAAAGAATGACCTAAACACCCTAAAAGCATCTGATCTTGGAGAGTTATGTCTAGTTAATGCTTGAGAGTAAGAAGATTATCACACCACTTTTCAAACTGACTTACCTCTCCCAGCTTAAATTTTAATTTGGCTGGCATCCTGATATTATCGCAGCGATTTTGCTGCCGAATCTGCCACCAGGTCCATCCCGGGTCCATCCCCACTCCCAGGGGTGCTCAGTGTGCTTCAAAGCCAGGAGTTTTCCAGCTTAAGAAAATGGCTATCGGAGCACTCCTGGGAGTGGAGATGGACCCATGATGGACCTAGGTGGCAGATTCGGCAGCAAAATCTCTGCGATAATATCAGGATGCCTCCCTCCCAAATTAAAATTTAAGCTGGGAGAGGTAAACCAATTTGAAAAGCCATGCAATAAGCTCCTAAGATTGCCAATGAATACCAGGTGCTGTAAACTATATTTCAGAGGGAAAAACTGGCAAAACCACCTCTGAGTTTTCCTTGCCTTAGAAAACCCAATAAAATTCATGGGGTTGCTACAAGTTGACAGGCAACTTGAAGGTACATACATACACACAATAGAAGAGACTGATTTATTTGCAACTTGGAAGAAAGTATCAGATCAGATCCGCATGCAAGCTGGTCTCTGTATTCAGTTTTGTAAAAGTGTTGACAACTCGGCCTCTATTTGGACTGTATTATTTATAAGTGCTTATAAGATCATGTTGGTTTCATCTGAAAAATACCAAGAATTTGAGTATGCTCTGCAGCAGGAATGTTCCAGTTTGTAAATAACTGTTGCACAATTTTCCTCATTATCATAAATTGTCCTCTGAATTTGTTTAGATCCAGTGTTCTGGCATAATTGAAACAAATGCACATGTACACACAAACAGACCAAAAAGAGGATGCCCTCTACTCCACTGTCCATGGTAACCTATTTTATAGGTTGCTTCTTTTGTGAGTAGTCTTTTTTTGGATGGGGGCCTCTTTTACAATGCTGATTTATTGTACATGGTTTAGAGAAGGATTAGGCAAAGTGTTGCCTGCAAGCCACATGGAGGACTGCATGGCCTACATGGACCTCTTGGCTCCAAACTCCTTCCAACACCTCCCCAAAAAATTAGTCACCAAAATGACAAATTGGACCCACCAGAAATCTCAGACAAAAGCAAACTGCTGCAGCCTCTTCTAGGTTGTGTGCTCTTCTTCATTCATAACTTTTGGCATGGCTAGGTGGTGTCCACAGCTGGGCAACCAAAATGGTGAAAGATCTCAAAACCATGCCCTATGAGGAATGACTTAGGGAGCTGGTTGTGTTTGGCAGAGACGGTTAAAAGGTGATAATGATAGCCCTGTTTAAGTATTTGAAGGGGTGTCATATTCAGGATGGAGCAAGCTTGTTTTCTGCTGCTCCAGAGAATAGGACCTGGAACAATAGGATTCAAACTACAGGGAAAGAAATTCCACCTCAGCATTAGGAGGAACTTCCTGACAGTAAGTGGTACACACTTCCTCAGAGAGTGGAGGAGTCTCCTTCTTTGGAGGTTTTTAAACAGAATCTGGATGGCCATCTTTCAGGGGTGCTTTGATTATGTATTCTTGCATGGTAGGGGGTTAGACTGGATGGCTCTTGAGGTCTCTTCCAGCTCAATGATGCTATGATATTGTTTGGCCACACATGTCACAATTTTCATGTGTGAAATGTTGGAAAGTTTGAATTTGCCTACTAAATGTATTAACCAACCAATATTTTTTCCATCCCACCTCCCCAAAAGACAGAAGGGGAATACTGAGGATGTGATTTTTCCATTGCAGATGTGATTTTCCATTGTGATTGTATGGGTTTCAAAGACAAAAGTGTCAGAAGGGGCTAGCAAAGGTCCAGAAGTGAGCAATAATGGCCCCAAACTGTTTCTTGAGTCCAATTTCTAGCATTGCAATAACTTAAAATTTCAGTTGAGACTTTGGAAAAACAGTTTAGGCATCCAAAGAAAAAGGGGAGGCAAGGTGACTAAAGGAATGCAGACACAGCAAATACAAGAGTCATAGGTGTCAACTGTTTTAAGTGTCTCACTCTCCAGAATGCTAGAAATTTGAGGACTGAAGGAAAATTTCACAAGGGGAGCAGAATTCTTATTTGTGGAGCAGTACCCTCACTCATCCCCAGATAGCTAGTGAATGATGATGGGATGCCCATTTGTGATTGCCCTGTTCCACTCTGTAGCTGCTTTATATCAATGTTAAAGAAGCTTCTCATGAATTTGAGGTTAACTTCCACCACAAATAGAAACGTAAACACCAATAAAAATGCAGCATCTTAAAAAAAAGCCCATACAATCTATAATTAAAATATTAACTTAAGAGCAGCAGAAAACATTATTCTCTGACCATGTGCCAATGCTACAAAAATATCTCAGCCCATAAAGAAGGATGTAGTAAACTAATCTGCTGTACTGAGTAGACGCAGCTAGTAACACATTTTACTACCATGGTGATAGAAGAGGAAGGGACCTGGCCTTTTTCTCCTGTCACTGTATGGGGAAAGTCAGGCATAATCCTCTACAGAAACTGTGTACTTGCATAGGGTTTGACTACAGCAGCCAGCATCTTTCCATTTCACCCTGTTTCACTATTCTTTGACCTACAAGTTCCACTTGTGAACTTCCCCACCAAGTTCTCTTATTGAAGGAAGAAGCAAAGAACAAAAGGTTGCCACCACATAGAAAGTATCCCTCCAAGTCCCTCTTGAACCTGATGATAAGACTAGAAAAAGCTCAAGATCTCAAAGAACAGTGGGGTTGTACAGACAAAGATGTCAGTTATTTGGGAAAGACCAAATTGTCTCTGCAAACTCTGATACAATTTCCCTAACCTTCCATGATTTCCATCATTGTAGAATCATGTGAACCTGATATATACAGGTCTACAAGCTCACTGTTGACTACTTATCAATAGCTTTCCATCTCCATAGTGTCAAACAAGGGTCCGTGCATTCCTACTTGGGTTTCTTTGACTGTGGCTCTGCCAGAGAATGATGAACTACTGCTCTTATCAACCCTTTTTATTGGCCTGAATGACTGGGGCTGATAGGAACTGCAGTGCAGCAATGTCTGGAGGGCCACAGGTTCCTCAGCTCTGCTTCATCTGTAAATATTAGGGAGTGAACGGGGAATTTTTTGTATATCAGGAATATAGCTCAACCATTGAGAGGTGTCCTTCTCCCCATTGCACAATGGACAAGTAGTTCTCATATCACTATGTATGGTTGTGCCACTGCAGAATCCAGAAAAGTGGTCATGTTAATTATTTGCTATAAAAAGATAGGTTGGCAATGGCAATCCAGCTGAGGCAGGAACTTGTTTTACTCAAATAACTCCTATGAGTTTTTTCCAAGGCTCTTTGATAGGCTTATAGTGTTCCTTCCCACTCATCTCACATGCCTTGTGACAGTTTTTTGGAATCTGGTTGTGCAACAGTGTTGCATTTATGTTTGTTTTTGTTGGCAACCAGTTTATTCTGTCATTGCACCCATGTTAATGAAATTGCAGAGCCAAAAGCCTATGGGGAGAGGGGTAGCGGTTTCAGCCAAAGCCTATCTGTTGGCAT